GTCTCAACAGGAGTGAAGTTTCATATGGAGTTTAGACTACGACAGTTGCCAGACGAAGACGTCGGTAACGGAGGAAAAGACGACTCCGAGTGAACGGGTTTACTGCTATCATGGTTCTTACAGTAAGTATGTAGGCTAACTCATGAAATCTCAACAGAAACTCCGAAATGTGTTTTCTTTTCGAAAAGATTAATTAATTAGGGTTGCAAAATCGATCATCATGCAACATAATCCTATAATAATTCAGTTACCTTAGGCTGCCGGCTTTCGAAAGAACTTCTTTCCGGCTACATTCAAAAACCATACTCCCTAAACAATGACTACTTAAGTAGCATGCATTTTTGTCATTGATTATCGATGCCTTAGAGATTCAATTATATCTCATTGAAAACATGCATAAAGATATTCATTCTTTTGCTCATTCAGAAGAAAGTACATCTTATTTTGATTCTACACTTGAAGAAGGGGCCTAATTTGGTTTTATAAAACCTTTCCAATTCCCGAATAATTTTGAACCCGACCTGCCATTACACTTGCATTGGGGGTTCCAGAACTACAAGCCGCGTACAGAAAACCATACATTTCTCTACCGTATTAAGAGGAGATCATATGGGGTGCATAAAATCAAAAAGTGGATTGGAGCCACCTTGTTAACTTTACAAGCCACATTGGTAAATTCAGAGACATGACGTTTTATGAACAGCCATTTAACGGTATTAAGAAATCTCACAATTGGAAACTTTTTAAAACCGAATTGCACCCTTCCTTGGAGTATAGAATTGAAAGAATACGTCATCTTCTACGGAATATGCAAAAAAATGAATATTTTTAGGCATGTTTTCTATTACATATGATTTAATTTTTAAGGGCATCAAAGGTTAATGAGAAAAATGCATGCTACTTAAGTAGTCATTTTTTTGCAAGGTATAGTTTCTTCATGCAGCCGAAAAAAAGTTTCTAATTGTGAGATTTTTTAATACTGTTAAATGGCCGTTCATGAAACGTCATGTATCTGCATTTACGAATGTGGCTTGTAAAGTTAACAATATTGCTCAAATCCACAGCTTTATTTTATGAACCCCATATAGTCTCCTCTTTATACCGTAGAGAAATGCATGGTTTTCCGTGCGCGGAAAATAAGCAGCTTGTAGTTTTGAAACCCTGAATGCAAGTGTAACAGCAGGTCGGGTTCAAAATTATTCGGGAATTAGAAAAGTTTTTTAAAACCGAATTATACTCTTCTTTTGAGTGTGGAATTGAAGGAAGACGTGATTTTCTACCGAATAAGTAAAAGAATGAATATTTTTATGCATTTCTTCCATGAAATATAATTGAATTTTCAAGGGCATCGAAAATCAATGAGAAAATTGCATACTACTTAAGTAGTCATTTTTTGCAGAGTATAGATCTTGCATGCAGCCGAAAATAAGTTCTTTCGAAAGCCGACACCCTGAGGTAACTTGATCATTATAGATTTATGCTGCATCATGATTAGTTTTACAACGCTACTTAATTTATCTTTTCGAAACGAGAACGCATTTCGAAATTTTGGTTGACATTTCATGAGTTAGCACATCTACTGTATATAAGTGTAATATGTTCTAAAGTTATTTTAGCAGGGAAGGGATAACATTAAGTTCACATGGATTGTACGATATACCATGCTTCACCGTAGAGGTACTAGCTAAAAGACCATACTCACGTGTTTCGGCGATATTCTGCTACTCCATGTCACAGCTGCGAGGGTTTCGGCTCATCAGTGGGTCTCCCGGCGCCCCCTTTGTGCTTTTCCAGTGGATACTTCAGTTTTCTGAAATTGCAGCTTTTTAATTTTTCCAGATATTAATCACTAACTTAGAGTAAGCCAGTCTATTTGAGACTTACAGACTCAGCTTGAAGTGTGATATGAAAAATTGAACGAATATCTGGGCTGAAGTAGTAGTATATGCATGTAGTAGTATGCATGTAGTATGTAGTAGTATGCATGTAGTAGTATATGCATGGGTTGTACGAAATACCATATCAAATTGCAGTCTGAGTTTATAAGTACTAGATAGACTAATTTACTCCAAATTTGTGATTAAATTCTGGGGAAATTAAAAGCCACAATTTTAAGTTAAGATCGTGCAGCAAGCCTGCATGCTTGCGGGAGTTCCTTTGTGAGCGGACAGTATTCTGGCTTGGAAAGGTTCATGCAAGTAACCTTTACACACTGGTGGACGACCAAAACTTGGCTCGCATTTCCTTACGTTCTTTTTTTTCAAGCTGTGACTTTTTAAATGCGCTTTCTGGTCGACGTATTTGGACGGAATTGTTTGCAATGGTGGGGGCGCTCACCGATAGTTCTTACGGAACTCACTCGTTCCGTTGTGCCTTATGAACTCTATCTCGAGACCAACCAGCAGCCGCACAGTGGCGCATCATATAGGCAGAATGACATTACCGACAAAGACAAGGGAGACTGGAATGGCCATTTCTGGCTTATTAGCCGTCGTCAGCCAGTCATACCCAACCCCGAAATGTGGAACAGTCGTGGCTCGAAATTCTGCATGTTCCTGGTGTTCGGACATCGGGACAAGGACAAAGGAGTCTGGGACTTCCTGTAATGGCTTTAAATTGTTCTTTAGGACGCCGAGTTTGTCCTGCAAAGTGAACGCTTTTACCACGACAGTCAGCATCCTCGGCCACCACCCCTGGGTCAGCTGGCCGGTGGCACAGTGATAGAATGTTGGACTACTTAGCGCTCAATTATCAAAGAACTCGGGTTCGAGCATGAGGTTCCAAAAACGTGGGGCTGCGCAGGACTGGCTGGAGATGGCCAGTAAGCCAGAAACGCGCAATCTCCCTCTCGTCTTTGGCGCACCTGTTATCCACCGGTGCTATTTATTTTGTGTATCCGTATTTCGGTAGGACTGATCTCCTTGGCCCCCGTAAACAGGACATGCGATGAGGTACGCTCCGTCCAAGTACCAAAGACGGATCTGCGCATTATTCCGGAAAGGACAAAATAATTCTGTGTCCTGATCCTAACAGTAACCCCTAACGTAAAACTAAACCGTTGCCCCAATCTTGACCCTAACCCTACCCCAGACCCCGGCGCTGCAGTTAATGTTAGCTCCTGCTTTCACCCTAAACCTGATCCTGACTGACCTCGCCTTTAAAGTTAGCGTTAAACCGAATCCCTAACCCTACTCTAACCTTAATCTTAAATCTAACCCTCATTTCCCTGGAAGTCGGCTCAAAGCCAAGCGTGTTGCAGGCGGCTTCTGTTTTCATGTCCTGTTTAGGGGGCCATATACAGTAGGTGGGCTAACTCATGAAATGTCAACCGAAATTCTGAAATGCGTTTTCGTTTCGAAAAGATTAATTAGGTAGGGTTGTAAAACTAGTCAGCCTGCAACATAATTTTATAATATTTCAGTTACCTCAGGATGCCGGCTTTCGAATAAACTGCCTTCCGGCTGCATGCAAAGACCACACTCTGTAAAAAATGACTACATAAGTAGCATGAATCTTTCTCACTGATTTTCGATGCCCCTAAATGTCCAATTATATTTCATTGAAAAAATAT